CTCATTACTCGTCCATTCGCATGAACAAGTAAGAGGAGTAGAATCCTTTTAGTTCGTCTTGCGAGCTCCCCCTTTTTTTTATTTATTTATTTATATTTTTTTATTTTTTTTTTCGATCAAGCAGTATGCTACACTCCCCATTCAATCATAAAATAAATAACTCCGTCATACTTATGAATCGCATAATAGGCCGTCGGCAGCAAATCAATAGGATAAATAAGAAAATCAGTCCAAGGCTCAAACGGCTACTAGCGGAGATATATATATCAAGGACAAGAACAGGGTAAAACGAGCTAAACAAAAAGATGCCTCAATCATTTCTACAGCTCAAGAATCTAGTTTAATTCAAAATAGACTCAAGGCAAGTTTCAGTTATACAAGAATTCGACCAACTCTCAAGAATAAGAAAAAGGCTCAAAACCTCACTTGGTGCACTACTGTCAAACACATCAACCAAGCATTTCATCAAAACATATAATCAATGACCATCATCACAACTTCTCAATCTCATCAAGCAGTCATCAACCAATCTTATCTTACACCAAAATCCAAACTCAATCAACAACAAGGCACCCTAAAGAAAAACTAGACACGGCCAACCATATATACACATAAGCATGCCAACACTCCCCCACACTTAAACCAGACAATGTCCCCATTGTCTGTCCTAAGTGCCAGAGAGTTGTACTATATGATCAACGAACAAGAAACAAGCCAAAGAGAAATAAAGAAAAGGAAAGGGTGTGCAAACTGGGAGTGCCCCGAGGAGAATAAGCGTTCACGTTCAAGGCCTTCGCCCATGCTCAACGCCGCCCTCAATTGCCCTGAGAATACAAACCACAAGAAACTCCAAAACTCTCATTATTCAAACATAAAAACTAATATTGCACAAAAAAAATAGCAAAGAAGGCAATAAATTTCACTTGGGTTGCCTCCCAAGAAGCGCTCGTTTTATGTCACTAGCTTGATGAAACCTGAGGGAAACTCAGCCGGGATCTATGAAGAAGTGACTGTCATGCCACGCCTTCGTATTTTCGAGAAGTGGTAGCCCAGGCAGTGTGGCTAGAAGGCGGGCATAGTGGATCCGGGTGGTCATGTTCTGGATAAAGAGGTCTCGGGTACGAGCAATCCCCAACTCTACACGTAGAGCTTTTCCCACCCAAGCTCTATCGTCAACCTCCGAAAATATAAGCTCATCGGTGGAGCAAGTCGAACTGAATGCTCCCCACTTCGTATCACAGTGTAAAGGGCCCGAAGACGGATGCTCCAACTC